GCCATTCTGACAGGTGTGAGGTGGTACCTCATTGTTGTTTTGATTTTCATCTCTAGGATGATTAGTAATTTTGATCATGTTTTCGTATGTCTCTTGGATTTCTCAATGTCTTATTTTAAAAAGCCTCTATTTAGGTCCTTTGCCCATTTGCTGATTGGATTGTTTCTCTCTCTCTCTCTCTCTCTCTCTCTCTCTCTCTCTCTCTCTTCTTTCTTTCTTTCTCTTTCTTTCTTTCTTTCTTTCTTTCTTTTTTAAAATACATTTTATTGATATTTTACAGAGAGGAGGAAGGGAGAGAGATAGAGAGCTAGAAACGTCGATGAGAGAGAAACATCGACCAGCAGCCTCCTGCACACCCCCTACTGGGGATGTGCCCGCAACCAATGTACATGCCCTTGACCGGAATTGAACCCAGGACCCTTCAGTCCGCAGGCCGACACTCTACTGCTGAGCCAAACGGGTTTCGGCTCTTTCTTTTTTCCTTCCTCCCTCCCTCCCTCCCTTCCTTCCTTCCTTCCTTCCTTCCTTCCTTCCTTCCTTCCTTCCTCCCTCCCTCCCTCCCTCCCTCCCTCCCTCCCCTCCCCTCCCCTCCCCTCCTTTTCCCTTCTTTCTTTCTTTCTTTTGGGATACCATTCAGTTAAACCAGCTGGCCCTTTCCCATTCACCAGGCTTCTATCCTATCTAATAAAAGAGTAATATGCAGATTGATCATCACTTTAACACACAAGTTGGCTGCCCCCATGTGGTCAAAGATCCTGCCCCCATGCGGATACAAGATGGCCACCACAAGATGGCCAGCAGGGGAGGGCAGTTGGGAGGGACCAGCCCTCAAGGGAGGGCAGTTGTGGACAATCAGGCAAGCAGGGGAGGACAGTTATAAAGCACCAGGCCTGCTAAGAAGGATAGTTGGGGCCGATTAATTCTTCAGGGGAGGGCAGTTAGGGGTGACCAGGCCGACAGGAGGGAAGTTGGGGGCAAACAGGCTGGCAGGGGAGCAGTTAGACATCAATCAGGCTGGCATGGGAGTAGTTAGGGGGTGATCAGGCTGGCAGGCCGAAGTGGTTAGGGGCAATCAGGAACCAGGCAGGTGAGCAGTTGGGCGCCAGAAGTCCTAGATTGTGAGAGGGATGTCCGACTGCCCGTTTAGGCCTAAATACGCAGTTGGACATCCCTTGAGGGGTCCCAGATTGGAGAGGGTGCAGGCTGGGCTGAGGGAATTTTGTGCACTGGGCCTCTAGTTGTTAAATAGCATGCTATTTAGCCTCCAGGTGTTTTTTTCTTATTGTTTTCTGGGTCGGCAACTAAGTAATTGCGGGTTTCACACATATATGGCTTCAGTTGAATTTTTAGGTTTGCAGACGTAGTACAAATGTAAAACACATTTTGTTATTTGATAGTTGGCTATTCAGCTGTTAATCAGTAAAAAAAGTTTTTTGATCTGTTTTGTAGTTTTCGTTTGGCGTTCATTGAAAAATGGAAAGTCAAAAGGAACATTTTCGTCATATTTTGCTTTTTTATTTCCGCAAAGGGAAAAACGCATCGCAAGCTCATAAAAGTTATGTGCTGTTTATGGTGACGAAGCCTTAAAAGAACGGCAGTGTCAAAATTGGTTTGCCAAATTTCGTTCTGGTGATTTTTCACTCAAAGATGAAAAACGCTCTGGTCGTCCAGTTGAAGTTGATGACGCCCTAATCAAAGCAATAATCAATTCGGACTGTCACAGTACAACACGTGAGATTGCAGAGAAGCTTCATGTATCACATACATGCATTGAAAATCACTTAAAACAACTTGGCTATGTTCGAAAACTCGATACATGGGTTCCTCACGAACTGAAAGAATCACAGTTAACGCAACGCATTAGCAGCTGCGATTTGCTAAAGAAACGTAATGAAAATGATCCATTTTTAAAACGACTGATAACTGGCAATGAAAAATGGGTTGTTTACAACAATATCAAGCGGAAAAGATCGTGGAGCAGGCCAGGTGAACCAACTCAAACAACATCAAAAGCTGATATTCATCAAAAGAAGGATTTGTTATCAGCTTGGTGGGATTACAAAGGAATTGTCTACTTTGAACTCTTACCACCCAACCGAACGATCAATTCTGATGTCTACATTGAACAACTAACGAAATTAAACAATGCAGTTGAAGAAAAGCGGCCCGAATTGACAAATCGAAAAGGTGTTGTATTCCATCATGACAACGCAAGGCCACACACATCTTTGGTCACTCGGCAAAAATTAATGGAGCTTGGTTGGGATGTTTTGCCACATCCACCATATAGTCCTGACCTTGCACCATCTGAGTACTTTTTGTTTCGATCTTTACAAAAGTCCTTGAATGGTAAAAATTTCAATAATGATGATGATGTCAAATCGTACCTGATTCAGTTTTTTGCTAATAAAAACCAGAAGTTTTTTGAACGTGGGATTATGATGCTGCCTGAAAGATGGCAAAAGGTCATTGATCAAAATGGGCAATACATTACAGAATAAAGTTATTTAGTTCCATGAAAAAAATTTTTGATTTTTAAAAAATCAGCAATTACTTAGTTGCCGACCCAATATTATAGTTTATTTCTAGTTTTATGCCATTGAGTTCTGAGATGCTTGATATGATTTCTATTTTCTCAAATTTGAAGAGAGCCTGTGTCCCAGTATATGGTCTATGATTGAAAATGATCCTTTGGCACCTGAGAAGAATGTATATTATGTGGCTTTGGAGTCAAATGTTCTGAAGATGTCAATTAATTCCATCTGATCTAGTGAGTCATTGAGGATTGATTTTTTTGCTAATTTTTTGTTTAGAGGATTTGTTCAGTGGTGTTAGTGTGTATTAAAGGCCCCTATTATGACTATTGTTGTCACTCTCTCCCTTGATACCCTCCAGAAGTTTATGTATTTGGGTGCTCCTGTATATGTTTATCAGAGTTATACGTTCTTGTTGAATTGCTCCCTTTAGTATAATTAAGTGGCTTTATTTATCTCTTGTTATGTCCTTCACTTTGAGATCTAATTTGTCAGATATAAGTATTGCTTATCCAAGACTTTTTTTTTCATTGCCATTTGCCTGAAAAACCTTTTTCTATCCCTTCAGCATCAGCTTGTGTGAGTCGTTTATTCTGAGGTGGATTTCTTGTAGACAGCATATATGTGAGTCATGTCTTCTTATTCACACAGTTACCCTATGTCTTTTGATTGGGGCATTTAATCCATTTACATTTAAAGTTATTCTTGATAGGTACTTGTTGCCATTTTTTACTATTTATGCCTGTTTTCCTTCTTTGCTTCCTATTTCTTCTTTTTACAGCAGACCCTTTAGCATTTCTTTCATTGCTGGTTTGGTAATAAACTCCCTTAGTTCTTTTTTGTCTGTGAAGCTCCTGATTTCACCCTCAATTTTGATTGGCAGCCTTGCTGGGTACAGTATTCTTGGATTCAGACCCTTTCTTTGTATGACTTTGTATATTTCATTCCATTGCCTTCTGGCCTGATGTGTTTCTGTTGAGATAAGTTGCTAGTCTGATGGGGGATCCTTTGTAGGTAACTTTATGTCTCTTTGTGGCCGCTTTTAAGTTTCTTACTTTGTCCTTGATGTTTGCCAATTTCACTATTATGTGCCTTGGTGTCTGTCTTTTGGGATTCATTTTGTTTGGGACTCTATAAGCTTCTTGGACTTGTGTGAGTTTTTTCTTCTTTATATCAGGGAAGTTTTCTGTCATTTCTTCAGACAGGTATTCTATTCCTTGCTCAGTTTCCTCTCCTTCTGTCACCTCTATTATGTAGATGTTGTTTCATTTAGTGTTGTCCCAAAGTTCCCTTAGGCTCTCCTCCTGTTTTTATTTTTAAGGTTTTTTTGTTTTTGTTTGTTTGTTTGTTTGTTTTTTCTAGATGCTGCTCTGCTTGAATATTTGTCTTCTAGCTCACTGATGCATTTTTCCATTTCTTCTAGTCTACTGTTGATGCTTTTTATTGAGTTCTTTATTGCAGTGATGTCATTTTTCATTTCTTCCTGGTTCTTCATTTCCTCTTGGTTCTTACACATATTGTTGAATTTGTCTTCCAACCTTTTCAGCGACCTTATGACCAATTCTCTGAATTTGACATGTTGCTTGCCTCCATTTAGTTTATTCTTTTTTCTGGTGATGCCTACTTTTTCATATGCAGGCTGTCTGTCTCCACATGATCTCTCCTTTCCTGGTTTCTGATTATGTAGCTCTTTCTCTCCTACATTGACTTAAAACACAACAAGGCACAACGCACAAGGCACTGAACACAAATGTACTCACAATACTAATAAAGGTCACTACCAGAGAAAAGAGAATTAGAGGATAAAGAAAAAGAGTGCAAAATGATATTGAGAAAAGGAAAAAAGTGAGAGAAAAGGAAGAATAAAAAAGGGGAAAAACTATTTATATGGGGAGAAAACTCCAATATAACAACAACTAATCCAAAAAAATGCAAACAACAAACACCCACAGATGAATGTAACCTACAAACAACAACTAATAACAAGTGAGGAGAGTAAAAACAGAAGCAAGAAAAAAAGAGAGAAACAATCACACAAAAAATAAAAAAAACACCCATAATCTAATCAACAATCAAACAAACAATAGGACAGTATGAAAGAAGAGCAAAACAAAACAAAAAATATAACAAACAAACAAACAAAAAAGTGGAAGGGAGAAAAAAAATTTGGTTAGTGAAGAAAGAGAGTGAGAAGTATGTACAGGAGCAGGGGATCAGAAATTTGATATATAAGTATGATGAATTTTTAAAAAATATATATTTGATTTTTTTTACAGAAAGGAAGAGAGAGATAGAGAGCTAGAAATGTCAATGAGAGAGAAACACCGACCAGCTGCCTCTTGCACACCCCCTACTGGGGATGTGCCTGCAACTAACGTACATGCCCCTGACCGGAATTGAACCTGGGACCTTTCAGTCCTCAGACCGATGCTTTACCACTGAGCCAAACCCGTTTCGGCTAAGTATGATGAATTTTTAACGGGGGATAAAAAGAAGGAATAGGGAAAATCTAAAGCAGTAATAGGGTAAGAAAAACAGCACAACAAATGGGGAAAAGTGAGGAAGAGTGTGTAGGCATAAAGGTAACGTTGAACGCGCTGCCTTTGAGCCCCCGCCGTGCCTGCGTGTGGCGCCGGGGGTCAGGCTGCAGCGCCAGAGCAGTTGCTTGCGCATAACTGGGGCCCACGGCGCTCTGCCGGCGGCCCTTTTAACGGCGAGCTACATGGCGGAAAAAAAAAGAAAAAAAAAGAAAGAAAAAAAAGGTAAAGTTGAGATAAAGTAAAATGATGCTAAAGGAAAAATGAAAATAGAATGTAGCACACTAATCCCAAATTAAAGAGAAAATAAAATGAAAGTTTAAAAAAGGTAAAATAACAGTAGTAATAATACTGATTAAAAAATAAAAATATAATTAAAAAGGTAAAATCAAGTGAGAAAAAAGAAAAAAATTAGTTTCTTAAGTAAAGGATAAAAAATGTGTAGTAATGAAGGTTATTCACTTCTCCTATTCTGCTTGGCATACCTGTTTCCTGTCAGGTAGTCAGGACAGTATTGAAGTTCCCTGTATTCCACCGCTTCTATGTGTCATAAGCCACAATCCTGTTTTCAAGCAGGCAGTATTTCTTTGTTTCTCAGCCTACGTTTAGTTGTAGTTACACAAGTGTCCATTTGTTATTCAACCTCTGGGTAGCAGTGTTTTGGTATTGATATCCAAGACTATAAGTCTTCTCTACCCAATATTTAGATTTTGTTTTCCCTGCCGCATTTAATACTGGTTTTGGGGGAACTGACTTCCCCAGAGCTGGCTTTCTGGTTGTTTCTCCCCTCTCTGATCCCCAGTTTCCACAAAAATAACTTTCCCTTGCAGTGTCTGAGAGTGTTTGGGGGTGATCATATGTACCGGGCTTAGTAATCAAAAGCAAGGATATAAAGAGAAACAGAGCCAGAGTAAGTGCTCATACTCATGATTTTCCCCTCCTGGCACTGTGCACGACTCTGTGTACGTCCTTTGATACCTTAATCAATAAAGTAATTTAAAAAAATAAATAAAAGATGACCTTCACATTGGTAAAAAAAACAAATGATTTTAAGTATAATATTACATGCAATAAACATTAATATTTCAAGAAAAAGTCTCTATGCAGTCTCCACTTTTGGTCCTTAGGTATCAGGGTTCTCTCCTGCGAGTTTTCCGTTGATTATTCAGAAAGCTTTTCTGGCTGAAACCGGTTTAGCTCAGTGGATAGAGCATCTGCCTGCAGACTGAAAGCTCCCAGGTTTGATTCCGGTCAAAGGCATGTACCTTGGTTGCGGGCACATCCCCAGTAGGGGGTGTGCAAGAGGCAGCTGATAGATGATTCTCTCTCATCTATGTTTCTAACTCTCTATCCCTCTCTCTTCCTCTCTGTAAAAAAATCAATACATTTAAAAAAAAAGTTTTTCTGTATTTTAGTTGCAATATCAGTCTATTCCTGGGAGCATGTCCTGGGAGCATCCACCTACTCTGCCTTCATTTTAAAAACTTTTATTTTATTTAAAAAATATATTTTATTGATTTTTACAGAGAGGGAGAGGGATAGGGTTAGAAACATCGATGAGAGAAACATCGATCAGCTGCTTCTTGCACACCCCCTGCTGAGGATGTGCCCGCAACCAAGGTACATGCCCTTGATTGGAATCAAACCTGGGACCCTTGAGTCTGCAGACTGACGCTCTATCCACTGAGCCAAACCGGTTAGGGCTGCCTTCAAATTTTTAAATGTCTATAATGAAATTATGAGACAGTGTTAAAAAAATGGTCACCTCTTCTGGATTGTGTGACTGTGAGTGAATTTTTTTCTCTCCATTATAGTTTCGGTTTATTTATTTTTTAAAAATATATTTTATTTATTTTGTACAGAGAGGAAGGGAGAGAGAGTTAGAAACATCGATGAGAGAAAGTCATCAATCAGCTGCCTCTTGCACATTCCCTCGTGGGGATATGCCCGCAACCAAGGTACATGCCCTTGACCAGAATCAAACCTGGGACCCTTCAGTCCACAGACAGTCGCTCTATCCATTGAGCCAAACCGGTCCCGGCTCTGTTTATTTTTTAATTTTCTCCATTAAAAGTGTGATCTTTTTTATAACAATTATAAAAAGAAGAAAATGGAGGTTGGGTTCTAGAATTTCCAAGGTCACTTTTAGACCTAAATTTCTAGTTGATTAAAAGCATATTTTTGTCACTAGGGTGGTGTTTTTTTTTTTACCCTCCACTGGTAATAACAGAATATGTTACCTAAGTGCATGGTTGTGACTTTTCATGAAGTTTGTCAGCACTCAACTGAATGTTGAGATAGTGATGCCAGATGATAAGAACTATTACTTGAAAATGTGATAACAGTATGACCATTAATATAGCACTTAATCATCCATGAGACATTTTAATTTTAAATCTCCTAATAGTTTCTTTAAGACAAAGAGATATGCCCAGTCTATTCAGAATAAACAAACAGCTATAAACAGCATTTGAGTGTGTGCCTGTCACTCCCAAATTCTTGCCATTTGTTCCCACCCTGGAGAAGGTATACAGAAGTGAAGATGGGGTGTTTTACCTCTAGGCCTCTAGCCTGCTCAAGGGAAGAGATAGGGGGTCTACTCCCTGCTCTGCAGCTGGCTGGGGAATCTCTTTGGAGCACAAGACTACGCTGGGACAGATCCAGTTCTATAGCAATCGGCTGAAGAACAGGATGCCCCTCTCAGTCACTGTGGGAAGAACTGCTGAGGTCTTGTGATGCTGTCAGTGTCTCTTGCCAAAGTCAAAGCTGGGCATTCAGCCTCTAATGAGCATCAGGCCAAAAGCTCCTCAGTTCTTGACTATTTCCCACCCAGTGGTCTCACCTTTTGCATCCACCAAACAAATGATTTCGAACAGAAGGCCCAATCTGAAGCATTATAAGCCTCAAACCTTCAATGTCACAAACTATTCATTTGTCTACACTTCTGCCATAATTACTCTTTGTCACAGCTAGAAACATTTAGTCAAATATAGTAATTATCTTTTAAAAAATGTTTTTATTGATTTTAGAGAAAGCGAAGAGGGCGAGAGATAGAAACATCAATGAGAGAGAAACATTGATTGGCTGCCTCCTGCACACTCCCTACTAAGGACTGAGCCTAAAACCCCGGCAATGTGCCCTGACCAGAAACTGAACCAGGGACCTCTTGATGCATAGGGTGACAATCAATCCACTGAGTCACACTGGCCATGCTACTGTGTCATTATCTTCGTTTCACACAATTCTTAAAATATAAAAGGCCATAAGCTGCATTTTGGTTCACTTTGCCCTTTTGTAGTAAAATGAGTTATTTTGTTTCTCAAGCAATAAGAATTTATTTATTTTTAAATCCTCGCTTAAGGACATTTTCCCATTTATTTTTAGAGAGTGGAAGGGAGAGGGAGATAGAGAAATGTTGATTGGTTGCCTCCCACATGCACCCTGACCAGGGCCAGGAGCCTGCAACTGAGGTATGTGCCTTTGACTGAAATCAAACCCGGGACCCTTCAGTCTGCAAGGTGATGCTCTATCCACTTAGCCAAACTGGCCAGGGTTCATACTATAAAAATTAAGTAACTTCCTCAACTTTACGTTGTGGAAATGCCAAATGAAAAACTCTGTTTTTCAATGGAGCTAATAATGCAATTCTTCTGTAGTGACATAAACACATATAAACCTTGCCCAGCCAGTGTGGTTCAGTGGTTGACTGTTGAGGAGGTTATGGAACTATTCCTGGTTAGGGCACATGCCTGGTTTTGGCCTCAGTGTACAGTGGGGGGCCTGGAGGAGGGTCCTTCAATGATTCTCCCTTTCTCTCTCAAAACGAACATATATATACATATATATATATATATATATATATATATATATATATATATATATTTATATATCCCCCACAAAACCTCAAAAGTGTGACTTACTTATAACTAGGAAGAACTAGAGGAAGATTTCAACAGAGTAAACTTAAATACCCTGAAATGAATTTAACTTTGTTGTCAAGAGAACTCAAAAAGAATCTGGAGGCTTTGGTTAGAAATAAGGTGTTTTTTTTCAAGGATCTTAAAGAGTTTACAAACGTGGAACACAGGTTGGCAAAACCCCAGAAGTATTCCAAAAAAGAAAGAAAAGTTTTCTTATAGAAAAAAATGCACTCTTGAGAATTACAGTCCTTCATTCTTACCCTAGGATTGGTCCAGGACAGTTATCAACCAGTTAGTCAGGTATCCTGGATAACAGACACCAGGTCTGGTCAGGTCCCATAGTCTGGGATATGAGAGTCCTTCAGGGAGGTAATCAGAAGGCTATCTGAGGTTTGGTGTAAGTCCAGATGTACATTAAGGCATTGACCCAAGACTGAAAACTTCAAAAAGTTTTGAGTTCCCAGGCTAGCTAGAACAAGAACGGAGTATTTCCTCATGCTTCAACCTTCCTAAAGTTAATAATTTTTAGCAGCTTGGTTAAAGTGACCCCCGTTTCTATATTTCCTATCTTCATTTTTTCCTCACTGTGTGTAGACCCAGAGAGCAGAGCAGCAACAAAGCAGTAACCAAAGTTATAGGAACAGGAATATGGGCCATAAACTAAATACACCGTCAAATCAATTTGTGTGAATACTGAGTCCGCTTTCTCAGGACCACGTGCCTGAGCACTGTAAAGCAGAGTGTCGGGTGTGTGTGTGTGTGTGTGTGTGTGTGTGTGTGAGGGGTGTTACTGGTGACTCAATGGCCCTCCCACAGGGACCCAGAATTAACAGGATGAAACCGGAAAACGCGACATAGCTGGCGGCCTGGATGCTGCGAGTTCTCACTTGGCTAGAGAAGCACCAGCAGCCTGGGTCCCTCTTCCCCCTCCTGTGGACTGAGCCTGGGCTGAGAAGAAACGGCTGTTCGGCGGGTGTCAGCAGCCTCGGTGTGAACGCCGTCTGCGGTGGATTCCCCTGGACGCCGCCTCCCGCGGGGCTGCCTCCGCGCCCCCGCGGTCCGGGGGGAAGGCCGGGACGCCAGGGAACGTCCTAGGGCCCAGGGCGCATCTCCAGGTCCCGCTCACAGGGTCCGCGCGGCGCGGACGGAGGGACGAGGAGACGGCGGAGGCCCGCGCGACGCCAGGGACTCGGGTCAGTGAGGAGGCGCCGCGGGCCGGTGCGGACGGACCAGGGAGCCCGAGACCAACAACGCGCCGGAGCGCCTCGGCCGCCGTCCCGCAGCGGGCGCCTAGGACTTGTCGCAGTTCCCCAATCGCAGGCCGGACCCGGACCCGCCCCTCCCCTGCGCCCCATCTCCTCCCCTGTCAGTCCTCAGCGGGCGCCGGCGCCCCACCGCCCTCGCTCCGCCTCCCGCCGCATCATCGCCGGGAGCCGCGGAGCGCGGGGGCGGGCCGCTCGCCCATTGGCCGGCTGCGTCGCCGCTCCCAGAATGCACCGGATGGCGCGTCATTGAAGAGAGACCATGATGGCGGCGGGACTGGGGCCCCCAGAAGTGATCGCCCAGCTGGAGAACGCGGCCAAAGTTCTCATGGTGAGCGCGCCGCCCCGCCCCGGCCTCCGCGCCGCCGCGCCGCCCCCACCCCTCGGCCCCGACGCGCCCGCCGGGCCGCCTGGGAGCCCCGGGGAGGCAGCGAGGCACCGGAGGCTGCCGGACGGGTCTGTCCATCCCGGTGATGTGCAGCTGCTGGACTGTGCTTCTCGAGCCGCGGGGTTCCCCCAAACTGCGCGCAGCATAAGTGGGGAGCCGGGCGCGGGGCCGTGCGCGCCGCTGGGCTTGGGGCCGGAGAGAGGAAGAGCGGCCCGGCCCCGTGCCCGGGGCACCCTGCGCCCGCCGCCGCGTGCTCCCTGATGCAGCTCCGCCCGGGCCGCCCCGGGCCACCTCGGCGCCGGCACGTGGGGAGGCGGCCGCGGGAGGGAGGGGACTCTTTGGGACCAAGGTCATTGGGGCCAGACGTTTTTCCGGTCCGCTCCGTGGTCGCGTGTCCACTTCATTCTGACTCTACGTCAAACAAATTAGTTTCAGGGAATTTGGGAAGAATAGGATAAAAAAGGATTTCCCATAGGGAGAAGTCAGGATTAGCTGTATTCCTTTACTCGGTAAACTGAATTTGCTGATTCAGTTTTGTTTTTTATTTATGTTTTACTTTTAAAAACTTTTCATTGATTTTAGAGGGAGGGAGGGAGAGAAAGAAAACATATATTTGTCCCACTTATTGATTGGTTGATTCTTGTATCTTATGTTACCGGGATCCATAGGGAAACCGTGCTGTATACCACGCACTAACTGAGCTACCTGGCCATGGCTAAGTTTGTTTTTTAAATGACTTCCGTGTCTGTAGATTTTTATTTTTGGAATTTAGAGGCTCATTTGATTCCTTTAATTGATTCGGCTTTTCTAGGAATTGAATCCTCTGGACTTCTATTTTATTTTATTGACTTTAAAGAGAGAGAAGAGAAACATAATTTGTTGTTCCACCCATTTATGCACGTTGGCATATCTGGTATCTGGACAATGCTTTAATCAACCGAGATACCCGGCCAGGGCTGGACTATTTTTTCTTCCTTTTCCTTTTGGTTCTGTGTTTAAAAATATCTGAACTAATTCTAGCACAGTTTGTAGTTTCATTTACCAAGAGTTGTTTTCCCATACAACACCAGATAGTTCATGAAATTGAGAAGTTTAATAAAAAGGAAGGATTTACTGCTTCAATCTGAGCAAGATTAAATTAATCATTTTGTCACAAATCTGAGTAGTTGTCAGATTCTTGCTAGTAAGTCTAGAAAAAGCTAGTTAGTCTCCTCTTTAAAAGAAAAATAAATAAAAAAGTTGAACATCATTGATGCCTCTCCCCCCTTTTCTCTCCCCTTCCTCTCTGAAGTCAATAAAAGTATATTTTAAAAAATAGAAAAAATTTGTTTCAGAGAAGAGAGAGAGAGAGAGAGTGATAGAAACACCAGTGAGAGAGAATCTGATTGGCTGCCTCCTGCATGCTCCCTACTAGGGATGGAGCATAAAACCTGGGCATGTGCCCTGACTGGGAATGAAACCATAGGTCAATGCTTAACCATTGAGCAACACCAGTGGGGCTCTAGACTCCTTACTAAAAGGTTCTTAAGATCCCTTACATAGAGAACTTCCTGAAATACTGGTTAGTTTTCTAGGAGCTCAAAACCACTGCTTTCTCTCATGGATCAGAGAAAATGAGTGTCCATCATTGGCCTGTATTTTAGGATTTGTGCTTGCCTATGCTTTTCCTCTTCCCTGGCAAAGCTGTTTTTATTACTTATGAGGGATAGCTTAGAAGAATAGTCATAAATGATGTTTGAGTGCATACTACATACCACAGACACTATGCTTGATGCTTTACATACTTAGTACTTCTTGCAATAGCTTTATAAGATTGAAAGAGTTTACATGGCCTGGATTACATAATTATTGAGCTATTGAATTTGGTCTACAACTGAATTGGCTCTAAAGCTGGATTTCTTTCTACTCTACCTCACCACTTCATACATACGTCTAATAGATAGCTGTTTACATACTTTTAATCTTTCCAGGGAAGAGTATGGGAAAAAAATGTTACTGAAAATAGGAAATTCTGTTGTAGAAATTTCTACTTACTATTTAAAAATGTGTACCAAAAATATGTAAGAGTAGCAGTTATTGTATTATTCCTCAGTTATGATAGCAGCATTTCAATTTATCCTATATAATAAAGAGCTAATATGCAAATGGTCATCATGCCTCACACCACCACACAGTAACTTCTGACACTCAACACTGGGGAGAGAGGAATGGGACCAGTCAGGTACAAATGAGCTCTAGAGAAGAATGGGGACCAGCCAGGCTGTGGTCTGGAAGAGGGACAAGCTGCCCGCCTCGTGGTCCCAGACACCAGTGGCTGTGGCCTGGGCAAAGCCGCCTGCCCACAGTCCCCTGTGGCTGTGGCCAGCCTGGGTCCTGGGAGCCTATGGCTGGCCAGAGGGAAGGAATCCTGGATCCCAGGTGAGGGGCAAGGCAGAGGCAATTAGAGGGGATCAGGCCATCAGTTAGGCAGGCAGATGTGGTTAGGGGCTAGCAGGCAGACAGGCAGGCAGGCAGGTAGATGAGTGGTTAGGAGCCAGCAGTCCTGGATTGTGAGAGGCAGTTGGACATCCCCTGAGGGATCCTGGATTGGAGAGGGTGCAGGCTGGGCTGAGCCCTCCCCTCCCCATGCATGAATTTTGTGCAGCAGGCCTCTAGTTAATAATAATAGCTCATATTTATTGTTTATTGTGTATAAGCACTTTGCATGTTTTAGCTCAGTAATTTTATGAGTTTTTTCTATTTTCATATAGACTAAGGGATTCAAACATGTAAATGCTAAGTAATGGACTTAAATTTGCAAGGGAAGTGGTACAGCAGAGACTCCAGTTCATGTCTGTTATTAGTCTGTGGTTCTTAACCTATAGGAAAGTGGGATAGAAAGCAGACAAATTAATTCATTTGGGGTAGCTAAGATTGTTAAATGCCCTTTACTTACTAAGCATTAGAGTATGAAAAAGAAGAATGGGAGATTTTTTTCCATTTATCCACCTGTGGGTCAGATATGTATCTATCTGAAGAAACATTGTTTACAGAAATTTGTTATAATAGTTCTTAATATGTTTTGGTATAATATGTTTCTTAATATGATTCAAAGTAACTAGTGATGCCTTTCACAGTAGTATTTTTGCTTAGTTTTTTCTTTTGGTATATTTCATAAAAATCAGAAGTTTTAATGTGTAGATCAATCCCAACACATCTTTTTGTTCAAGTCTTAGGAAATACACGATGAATATCAGAAAAAAAAATTATAAGAAAATTTTTGAGTGCAAACATACATTTTTGGTAATAGGTTCTGTAGCTTTTTATCAGCTTCTCTCAGGAAATAGAGACCCCAAAATATGCTAGTCTAAGCATTCTCCCTTCCATTCTACAGATGGGGAAACTGAGATTCAAAGAGGTAGAAGTGACTTGCCGAAGGTAGGTCACAGAACATACTTGTGATAAGTCTGATCCAGAACCACGAGCACCAGACTCCCATTTCAGAACTGTGTTCCTTCTCAGAGTCCACATATTACAATATAATACCATAAATATTACATGTTCTCATTTGATGAGAAATTTCAAAATATATTTTTGGATATTGCAGTTGGTTGACGGTCAGCATTTATATTCATTCCTATTTAGGTTATTGAATGAGCAGCCAAATAAAGTGGTGTATTAGCCTTTAGGATATTTATGATACTTAACGAATTTTATAGGTCTCAACATGAGTAATTCCCCCCTCCCCCCAATCCCAAAAGTAGCAACGGAATATTTTTTGTCTATGCTTATACATACTACTTAATTTTCTGATTCAAGGCAGTGAATCTAAGCTAATGAGACAGGGAAACCTTCTGGACGTCCTTTAGGACAAAGCTATTGGTGGTGTGGCTGAGACAGAGGCGGTTAGGGGCGATCAGGTCAGGAGGGGTGGGCAGTTAGAATTGCCCGGGGGGTGGGGGAAGTTGGAGGTGAGTAGGCTAGCAGGAGGGGCCAGTTGGGGATGAGCAGGCCGGCGGAGTTGGGGACAGTTGGGGGTGAGCAGGCTGGCAGTGGGGTGCAGTTGGTGGCAATCAGGCTGGCAGGAGTGAAAGTTGGGGGTGAGCAGACTGGCAGGGAGGCAATTGGGGATGAGTAGGCTGGCAGGGGGAGCAATTTGGGGCAAGCAGGTTGGGGGGGGGGTGTAGTTGGGGACAAGAAGGCTGGTTGGGGGTGAGCAAGCTGGCAGGCAGGTGAGCGGTTAGGAACAGTGATCCTAGATTGCAAGAGGGATGTCCAACTGCCTCCCCCGAGGGGTCCCAGATTGGAGAGGGTGCAAGCTGGGCTGAGGGACACCCTCCTGAGCACGAATTTTGTGCACTGGGCCACTAGTTAGAAAATAAACTTGAAGGTGAACAAACTAAAAGGAAAGACTGTAAATTATTAAGAGTATGCAAGTGAATTTTTCTATTGTGAAAATTGTGCAAATGGAATATTTAAATAGAGCCCGAAAATTTACCTTTTAAAATTTATTTTCTGAAAATCTTTATTGTTGAAAGTATTACATATGACCCCTTTTTTCCTATTGGCCCCTTTTATTCCACCTCCTACCCTCTCCCTGGCCGTCACTACCCTATTGTCTGTATCCATGGTTTATGCATATAAGCATGCAAGTTCTTTGGTTGATCACTTTCCACTCTCCCCTTCCTTCCTTCTGAGATTCCATAGTCTGTTATTTACTTTTATGTTGTTCATCAGTTTATTTTGTTCATTTGATTTCATATATAAGCAAGATCATGTGATACTTGTCTTTCTCTGACTGGCTTATGCCACTTAGCATAGTACTTTCCAGTTTCCTCCATGCTGACTCAAAGGGTAAGAGATCCTTTTTTACTGCTACATAGTATTCTATGGTGTAAATGTACCACAGCTCTTAAAAGTTTTAATTTATTTTTTCTTTCAGACAAAAAGGGGGAGGGAGAGAGAGAGAAAAACATGAATGATGACACAGAATCATTGATCGGCTGCATGCCCCAAACTGGGGATTGAGCCTGCAACCTGGGCATGTGCCTTAAATGGAATGGAACTGAGTCCTCCTTGTACATAGGTTGATGCTCAACCATTAAGCCATGCCAACTGGGCTATTTTTTTATTTAAAAAAAATCTTTTATTGTTGAGAGTATTACAAATGTCCCCTTTTTCCCACCAGTGCCCCCTCCACCCAGTTCCCACCCAACCAGGCCCTCACCACCCTATTGTCTGTGTCCATAGATAATGCATATATACATACAATACCTTTGGTTGATCTCATCCCGCCCTCCTGTCCCCTTTCCTCTGAGATTCATCAGTCAGTTCCATGTTTCCATGCCTCTAGTTCTATTTTATTCATCGTTTTCTTCCCCTCATAAGATTTTTCATTTATTTTGATTTTTAGATTGAATTATTGGTAGATATGTATTTTTTGCCATTTTATTGTTCATATTTTTTCTTCTATTTTGTTCTCTCCTCCTCCTCCTCAACCCCTTCCCCTCCTTCTCCTCTTTCTCTCCTTCCCCCTCTTACTCCTCCTCCTCCTCCTTCAAAAATACCTTCAACATTCCATGTAATACTGGTTTGATGGTGATTAGCTCCTTTAGCTTTTCTTGTCTGAAGTTCTTTATCTGACATTCAATTCTAAAGGATAGCTTTGCTGGGCAGAGTAATCTTGGTTGTAGGTGATCACTTTGAGTATTTCTTGCCAATCCCTCCTGGTCTGCAAAATTTCTGTTGAGAAATCAGCTGACAGTCATATGGGTGCTGCTTTTCTCTTGCTAGTTTTAAAATTCTCTCTTTGTCTTTAACCCTGACTGGTCTTTTTTCATGTCGTTGATGTTCTCATTAAGATCCATGAAATTCTTACTAAGTCCCTTGAAGCTCTCATTAAGATCCTTGAACATCCTTATAACCATTGTTCTTTTGTTATTGTTAATCCTCACCCGAGGATATTTTTCCATTGATTTTTAGGGAAAGTGGAAGAAAGAGGGAAAGACAGAGAGTAACATCAATGTGAGAGAAACAGCTTGATTGGTTGCCTCCTGCAGGGCCTCATAAATCAAACCTGGGATGCTTTGGTCCGCAGGCTGATGTTCTATACACTGAGCCAAATAATCTAGGGCTAACTGTTTTTAGCTCTGTATCTAGTAGTTTGCTTGCTTCCATTTCACGAAGTTATTTTTCTGGAGGATTCTTCTATTCTTTTATTTGTGATATGTTCTTTTGTCTCCTTATTTTGGCTGCTTTCCTGTTTTTATGTATTAGGTAGGACAGTTATGCCTCCTGGAATTGGTAGAGTGGCCTGGTATAGTAGGTGTCCTGTCAGGCCCAGTGGCTCAGCCTCCCTAGTCAGCTGGGAACTCTAGGTGCACCCTTTTGTGAACTGTATGCACAGTCTTGTAGTTGAGCCTTGATTACTGTTGGCATCACTGGGAGGAGTTGACCTCCAGGCCAGTTGGCTGTGAGGACCAGCTGTGACTATAGTGGGAGAGCTGCTGTGCAGGAGAAAACCCTGTGGATCAGGACTTCCTTCAGTGGGGCTTTGATGCTCACTGTTGAGTGTGTCGCTTGTGGATATGTAGAGTTATAATCTGTTATGGTCTGAAGCTGTCCGACAAGTGTACTGGCTCTAGGGCCTCCATAGAGGTGCAAAGTGTTTTACCTCTTTGGTTAAGTTTATTCCTAAGTATCTTTAATTTTTTTTGTTACAATGGTAAATGGGGATTATTTAATTTCTCCTTCTGAGAACTCACTATTGGTGTATAAAAAAGCCATAGAGTTTTGGGTATTGATTTTGTGTCCTGCTACATTGCCAAATTCATTTATTAAATCTAGTAGTTTTTTGGTGGCTTCTTTAGGGTTTTCTGTACATAACTAGAGGCCCGAATTTGTGCACAGGTGGGTTCCCATGGTGGGGGCTGGGATGCCTGTGATCTGGATCCTTCCTGCTGACGTTCATGCCTGTTGATGGGAGCCACCTAGCAGCAGCTTTTATATCCTTTCTTCCTTGCAGAGCATCCAGGGAGGGGAGGTGGCCATGGTGCCTGAGACTGACTTCCAGGAGGCCATGCACTGTTGGGATCGTGCCAGTGGCTCTGGACTATTTGTATTTGGCCTGTTTTCCAGAGATTAGACCTGCAGGACCACTGCTGCTGGGCTGCCAGTCCGGGTCTGTCAGCTGAATGGCACTCCCGCTGTGGGAGTGCATTGACGATGAAGTGGCAGCTTCTGTATTGAGCATCTGCCCCCTGGAGGTCAGTGTGTGTCATAGTGACATGTTGACCAGTAATGGTCACTTAGGCCTTATGTATATGTTGTATCATAAATCATCGAGCTAGATACAAGACACCCTAACAAGCCAATTAATTAGGAGTCTTTATTACATGCGGGCTCAGAGCAGAATATCTCTGTCAAATTCTGAGCCCCAATAAGAAAGTCTTCCCTATTTATAATTTTTGAGCTCTTTGAGGTTTTACAAAGAGCTCTGAGTAAGATATTTTTGCAGACAGCTTGTAATCTTGGATACATAATGAACAAACACTTGGCATGAGAATATGGGGATATTATCAGTATCAGCTTATCAGCCCCTTATGTTAGATGGCTAGCTTGCAAGATCAGACAGCTAAGTTTATCTTCTCTATTTGAGCTAAAAGACCAAGTTATTTTACAGAATAAGAGACTGTCTAAAAATATCAGAGTTTATAGAACAAGGGACTGTATAACAGTAGAGAATTTCAAATAGCAGTTTTTATACAAGGAGGTTACTATGCTTTATATATAGATATCATGTCTGTGAATAATGAGTTTTATTTCCTCCTTTCCAATTTGGATGCCTTTTATTTCATCCCCCCCCCAAAAAAAAAAATATTTTTATTGATTTCAGAGAGGAAGGAAGAGAGAGAGAGAGAAATACCAATGATAAGAGAGAATAATTAATCAGCTGCCTCCTGCACGCTCCTACTGGGGTTCCAGCCTGCAATCCAGGCAGGCATGTGCCCTTGACCAGAATCGAACCTGGGACTCTTCAGCTGTATCCACTGAGCCAAATTGGCTAGAGCAATGGTCGGCAAACTCATTAGTCAACAGAGCCAAATATCAACAGTACAACGATTGGAATTTCTTTTGAGAGCCAAATTTTTTAAACTACTTCTAACGCCACTTCTTCAAAGTAGACTCACTCAGGCTGTGGTATTTTGTGGAAGAGCCACACTCAAGGGGCCAAAGAGCCGCATGTGGCTCGAGAGCCACAGTTTGCTGACCACAGGGCTAGGGCTATTTCTTCTTGTCTGATTATTGTGGCTAGCATTTCCACTAGTATGTTGAATTATAGTGGTGAAAGTGGAAATCCCTGTTCTTAGGGGAAATGGTTTTAGTTTTTGCCCATTGAGTGTGATGTTGGCTGTAGGTTTGTCATGTATGGCTTTTAT